ATTTATTTATTTGCTGCCCCCCCCCCATTAGTGCAATGTGCTATTCTTACATATATAAACATGTATTTACTGATGATCTCTCTACGTGCCATATAGTATAGGCTGATACTTCTGCCTGCGCACTATCTCTTCTGGGAGTAGTTTGATGCATACCTTTTCATGGGTCCATGGGTCCTCTAATTCCAGCCATCCCACCCAACTGGGATATAATCCCCTCCTTCAGCTTCTCTTCCTCCCCCTTTCTCCCTATCTCCTCCTTCTTTATCTCATCTCCCCAGCATTCTATCTCTCCCTCCTCCTCAGGGGACAATAAACTCTCTGTGATTGCTTCTCCTGCTGTCACTTTCCTGCTCCGACTCCCTTCAAATCTCCAGCTTTCATTATCCTGCATCTTCAGTTGGGACACTGTGGGAAACTATACCCTTTCGGGTACAGATTGTCTTGAATCCTTCAGCCTTAGACGATGGAGGGGATGGCTCGCTTCTGGGTCTCACACCTCTCTCCTGCACTTCTTCACCCTCTCTCAAACAGTAAGGCAGTTTGCCCTTGTCTTGGCCCAAGCTGGCCTCCTGAATTTTTTACTATGAATTGACTTGTTTCAGACTGTTCAAGAGGCAAGAGTATATGTCACATTTTCCACAGCATGGTAGTTTATGACTGCATCCTGCAGATTACTGTGCAAATCCATGCACATAAAATGCTGTAAAAGATTATACATTATGAATGAGGAACCAGAAATTCAATTAAAAACATTGCTCTATAAAATACAACAATATCAAATCTAGCAAAGGGAAATGCACTTAAAAATTTAACATGGAAGAATTATGGCTTTGAGAAAGGTTTTTATTTGTTCAGATAAAAATCATTCTTATAAATAAAAAGCAATGCATGTGGGGCATGTAGTGCAGAAATACCACAAATCATGAATAAAATTAACATTTGATTTCTATAAATACATATGGGCCATATTCTTTCTGTTCCTCTCTGTTTTGGAGTAATCACAGAACACCTTGGGGACTCTTTTGCCTTTTTTCCCCCAGTTCATAAAGATTACCTTTTAGGCTATATTAGGTGATGAAATATGTGCCAGAATTATTATAAGGTATTTGTCAGTAAGTAATACGAGATCCAGTGGTTTGTAATTCTGCCAGATAGTCTCTGAGGTAATTAATCATGCCTTCTTATTTTAGTGTAGTGACTAATTTGCATTGTCAGAGATTTTCAGCTCACAGTTTTGCATGTGACAAGGTGATCGTGAAGTGGATGCTGTGTTATTTTATAGAAAAACAAAAATCTTTCCATAACCCAGTATTTGGGTTGCTTTCTACAGTTCCTCAGAAGCTTCCCAACCTGTCTTTAGGTTGTTGTTTTTTTTTTAAAAAAACACCTGCCCCATAATAATTGTTGGGTACGATTAACGTCCATATGAGGGGGAGGGAGCTTTTTTTAAAAATATATATATATTTTACTCTGTAAACCACTCAGAGTTTACACTAATGGGACAATATACAAACCAACCAACCAACCAACCAAACTTCATCTTGCTAATCCAGAGTTTTGAAGTAACTACTTATAACTACTTATAACTAATTACTTGTGTTAATGCCCTTTTCCAGTAACAAAGGTATAATTAACTTATATTACAGTTGACATTTAACAAAGGATAACATTACTCTTTTTGCATAAAGAGTATAACTATAGCTATAGCTTTGTGTAATGTTTGATTTTTTAGGGGTCAAAATAAATGTATCAATTCTTTTACTTTTGGATTGTAACTTTAAAAGTTATCTTTTAAAGTTACAAGAGAAGGGAAGTAGGAACCAAGTGATTCCCCCACCCTTGCTGTCTTTGCAAATAATGGAGGAGTGGGGGATTGTTTCGGTCAGGCTTCCCTCCTCAAAAGCCTGATAGAAGCGATCCTCCACCCCTGCTGTCTGTGCAAAGGCAGTTGGAGCGGGGGATCACTTGGGTCTCATTTCCCTTCTCTTTCTATGCCTGCTGGGGCACAAAAAGATGGGGGAAGCCTGAGTGAACTGAAGCCCCACCCCTTGCTGTCTGAGCAAAGGCAGCGGGGGGGATTGCTTCAGTCAGGCTTGCCCAAAGCGAAGCCCTCCCCGCTGTTCCTTGCAAAAGCTAGGCTGCTGGAAGAGAAACAATGGTTCAAGCAGTCTAGCTTCTGTTTCTGTGGAAGCCACCACAGAGCAAGTGGAAGCAGCTGGGAAGTTAAGTGGCAGTGGGAAGGGGGTCAGGACTTTTTTTTTTAGATAGCCCTCATGGCCCAGGGCTGTTTTTTTTTTTTTTTAAAGACCCAACAAGCCCACAAATCAATTTGTGCTTCATTGGGCCACTGGGGGGCAATTCATTGTTTGTGGCTTGTCAAGGTTGACAACCCACAAACCGAGATTTATTTTATTTTATTTTGTTTATTTATTGTATTTATGTCCTGCCCATCTGGTCAATTGCCCACTCTGCTAAAATGGTGCACTCAGATGAAGCACCATTTTAGCAGTTCGTCCCCATCTCTAACCAGAACTATTAGCACTGAATAGCTTCTTCAAATTAGACTTTCTAAGCATTATATCTTACTTCCACACCATAGTTGCAGTAGTTCCTCATGGAACAGGATCATGTTATTTTATTTGCTTTTGAAAACTTACTCACAATGCTGATTTATCAACTGCTGGACCTATAAAGGCAATCCATGGATATGGCATTGAGCCATTATAAGAAATGTCATGTGGACTCAGCCTGAGATTGGACACACAGCCCTACCTTAGAAAAACATAAGTATGGACTCACTTGCACATAGCTCATCCACAAAAATGTATACCATGTATGAGATTTGTAGCTATGTTAAGTAGAAGAACAAAAAGTGACTCTGATATAAAAACATATGTAATACAACAGGTATAAAAAGATTGTTAACATGACCGCATAGTAGGGTTGTGAATCTAGATGCTTCTCTTCCTCTCCCAACGATTTCTCAGCAAGTAAAATTTCCCCAATTTCTTCCCATGAAATCTGGCACATAATTAGATCTGCAGAATTCTTTATCAGCAGCAAGCTAGGTCTTATCTGCTTCTTCCTGCACAAGATCCCATTTGACAATCCAGTGCTGCTTGTGCCTGAAGTATCACCCTCTGCATGACTTGCCTAGCTTTTGTTGCTCTTGTCAATTTCAAAGCTCTTCTACTGGTCAGTTTCAGAGTTGTGTACAATCCTATGCACTAACACAACCATTTGCAACTAGCCAACATAATAGCCTAGAACTGACAAAAGGGAGCAATAGCTGGTCACAAGCAGCACAGGACATGTGTAGGAACTAGGGGAAAGGTGTGTGTATGTGGGGGGAATGCCTGCTGCTGCTGTTTCCAGTCTCATTCACGATCACAGGGAGAGTCCTCACAGGGGCAAAATGTC